AACCATTAGATCCCGGCTGTGAAAGCCTTCGCGAATATACCACAGCTGTTGGTCTATGCCGTGTTCCACATGGGCTGTTTTGTCCACTGTGTTATTTAAAATCCCGTGTTCCACATGGGTCTGTTTTGTCCACTGTGTTATTTAAAATCCCTATGAAACCCTAGGATAGGTCATCCAGAACACTGGAGAAAGTTGCCATCAATATGTCAATTATATTTCGTACTGTTGGTTTTTATTAATTTACTCCAAGGAAGTGGTTAATTAGGACTCTGGTTCATTAAAACTAGAGTTCTTTTAAAATAATTGACCTATTATACGGGGGGTGGGGGAATAGATCATTGGTGGTCCAGCTACTACAATTTACACTGTACTCTCATGAGGCACCTACCCTGTAGGACAGATGGTTTCTTTGATCAAGCTACTTTAAAACTTCAAAAAGTTTTTATTTGTAAGAAAACAGCTTGCAACCACATTTATCTCTGCCATACATGCATCTGGAGTTGATCGTCAAACCGTTCTGTAATTAACCATATAATGTTAATTAAAAGCCTGGCTTTAAAAATATACATAGGCTTTTTTTTTTTTTTGAGGGGAATTTCTTTGATAGAAGGCCAGCCTTCTGAGGAGTAGAAAGTGGCAACTGGGGCACTCCTGTTCCAGATGCAGTCACAAGATGGCTGAGCAACTGTCATTGGCGCTGATGGAAGTTGCCTGTGCAGTGATGATGATTTTAATGGGGGTTGATGGGTGGCTGGGAGAAGATTTTCTACAATGTTCACAATTGGCAGGATTTATTAATATTAATGTTTTAATGATTGTTTTTAATATAGGATATTACTATAATATTACCTATTTTTAGTGGTTTTGATGTTTTTAAAGTTTTAATATTGTTGTACGCCGCTCAGAGACCACTGGTAACGGCACGGCTAAAAAAATCTTGTAAATAAATAAATAGGATTAAATAAAAGAACTACATTAAAGGATTTTTGACACATGGAAGCTCTTGGTTAAAATGTGGCACTAGAATTCTTTAGAAGTCTTTGACTCTCTTTGTGCTACTAGATTTAATTGGACTGAATTAGAAAGTCATGGTAAGGCTCCTTTCTCTTGGTGGAAAAACAAGGCAAGATGATTATGAATAACCTTTTAAGGGTTGTTTGTTTGTTGTTTTTACATCTTGCCTTTCCCTCAGTAAGTTTAAGACCATGCATATAGTTCTTCTCCTGTCCGTTTTCTTCTCATAACAACCTTGTGAGGTAACCCAGATTGAGACAGAATGGCTAGCCCAAGAACATTTCATGTCTCAAAGGGAATTTGAATCTGGATCTCTCAAATCCCAGTTGGGAATCCTGCGATGTTAGAATAATAGAATCATACAACTGTAGAGATGGAAGGGACCCCAAGTGTCATGGAGTCCAATCCTCTGACAAAGCAGAAAATCCACAGCAAAAGTGTCCCTAACAGATGAAAAGGAGCCGCTTCTACATAGGTTAGGCATCCTTCAGTCTCGAGAGACTATGGTAACGTGTTTTGTATGGAGGACTTGGAACAGCATCTACTGTGGCTGAGAAGGCCAATTTGAGGGTGACAATCCCTTCCACACTGAAGACAGATACAGTGGGGTCTTGACTTGAGAACTTAATCCGTATTGGAAGGCGGTTCTCAAGTCAAAAAGTCTGTAAGTCAAGTCTCCATTGACCTACAGTGCATTGAAAACCGATTAATCCCGTAACAAGCTGTTTTTGTTCCATTGTGGTTTTTTTCTGGTCTGTAAGTCAATTCTCAGGCTGCAAGTCAAACCTAAATTTTGTGGCCAGAGAAGTCTGTAACTCAAAAAGTCTGTAAGTCAAGCCGTCTGTAAGTCAAGGGTCCACTGTACTGTAAAGACTTTCCCCTGTCCAGCTCCCTGATTTTGCTGCTTTTGTGACTGCCTCTTTGCCTTGGCCTGCTGGACAAGGATCTCTTCAAATTGGGAGAGGCCATGATGCACCACCTGCCTCCAGGCTGAATGCCCAGATGTCAAGGTTTCCCATCTGTTGAGGTCCATTCCTAAGGCCTTCAGATCCCTCTTGCAAATATCCTAGTATCGCAGCTGTGGTCTCCTTCTGGGGAGATTTCCCTGTACTAATTCTCCATACAGGAGATCTTTGGGAATCCGACCATCAGCCATTCTCACGACATGCCCAAGCCAACGTAGACGTCGCTGTTTCAGTATTGTGTACATGCTAAATGAAGTTGACTCTGTTTATTTTTTTCAGAATTCTTTTGCATAATATTATCTAACTCATTTGTATCTTTAATCTTTGAAAATTTTGGATGGTGAACTACTTTGAAATAATATATATTGGCATCTCAACCTCTTTTAAGGTTATTCTGTTTCACTGCTATAATAGTTAAGCCTGGCAAAACCTGTGAGAACAAGATATCTGGTGAAGCTGCCAAAACTTTATGTAAAAATACTATAAGAGCATAATTTTTTTTCTGGCATTTTGCCACTTTTCCTTACAGACTTATCTGGAATCCAGAAGTGAAGAATCAGTACGGGAATTTAAAAATAGCTGGAAAACTGAATACGTAGTTCACCAAACCCTTTCAAGACACCAAGACAATCCAGTTACAGGAGTGGGCGCAAAATGAAGGGGAGCATGAGAAAGAGAAAGTTTGGTGGATTTTGATTTATTTTCCAACTGCAACTTTGTGCAGGCTTGCACTGAATCTCCTTGTCTGCGTGGTGGCTGGAGAATTTTAGGAATCATAGAATTTAAACTTTCCAACTTCTGACAAAGGAAGTTAGTTATCTTTCTGGTTCCATGTACCAAATCTGACAAGGCAGTCAATGACACTTTCCGTCAACAGTGGTGAGAAGATAGTATTCGACACCTCTGAGGAAAGCAGAGAAGCTCACAGGGCAGGCCACGTAGAGCTCTGCTGTGGTTCCCAGTTCCTATGCCTGCTTCACTCTGTCTAGTGAGAGGACCAGCTCCTTTTCTCCCTCAGAAAAGGACAACTGGACAGTTCCTGGTTACTTGGCCCAGTCTCTATGTGTTTCAGGAATGGTTCATACCTTGCAAAACTGGAAAGGACACTGAGAAATGGGCACTCAGTGTTCCTTACCTTTCTCACCATTACCATTTCTTCCTAGGCAGGGATGTGAATTTAAGGGGTCAAGATGGTAAAACACGATTTGAACAAACATGTCCATCAACAGCTGTTAACGCTGTAGGCAGCCGTGTTTGACTGAACTAATTTTTCCGGCATGGATAAGACAGATAACAATTTGAATGGTCCTAGTGCTTCCCTTATATTTGAGGTGAGTCTGAATAGTGCATCTGAGGCTTGTATTTCCAAGTCTAGAATATTGCTAATTGAAATTTACAGCATGTAAAGGAACTTCAATTTGTTCGTTTTTTTAATCCATCTTTTTTTTGTACAATTGAGTGTGAAATCACATGTGTGTTCTCAAGCAATACAGCCCAGATGCGCTTTCAGCACCTCTGTAAAAGCTATGAACTCAGCCTATGTGACAGGAGAAGCTCAGTACACCACTGATAGCTCTTTGACCCAAGAAAAACATTTCTGTTTCCCTCTGTCTTTTCTTTGATCCTAAACTACATGATACATAGACTGTACTTGAAAACACTGAATTATGTATATGTTTTTTCTTACATCCAGTGGTGCTGATTTTAGGCCAGATGGGCGGGGTATAAATCAAATAATATGTATTCCCTCCCTCCCTCCCTCTTTTCTGCCTTCTTTTCTTAAAGATGTAAGTTGGCTTTAATGGCAATAACTATCTGTCGTAAACAATGTGTGATATAACTTAATGTGCATATTATTAATAGGCTATTTGGTAGGCGGTATAGGTTAATTAAAGACAAATAGGTTGAAAAACAGTTTCTATCCCAGAGCAGCAGCTATATTGAATTCCACTGTATAGTGCAATATTAATGTGTTGTGCGATAGGAAATTGAATGTGAAGGATGTGGATGTGAATGAGAGGGATGTGTTTTATGTGTAATGTGCTATGTTTTTCATGTTACGGATTCTATGTTCTTGTGTGTTTTATCATTATGTGTACCGGAGATGGCATTTAATTTTGTTGTACGGAAGTACAATGACAATAAAGTAAATTCAAATTCAAATAGTAGCGTTTAAATTGTTGACTAACTCCACCTAGATATAACTGCCAGAAGTGGTAATAATAAGGGATCCAGTATTCATTTAATTTAGACAGCCTCCCCTGAACACAGGCAGAAACTATTTCGGTCCCTTACTATTTTTGTGCGCTACTGATTGCAGATTGTCTAGCAGAGACTATGAACACAGATGCCTGTTTCCATGTGCGAACATAGAAGACAGAAGCTTGTTTCCATGTAGTTGCTCTGACCTTAGACTGTTCTAAGTAATTTAATTCCTTCATGTGCACCCAGCAATACGAGCCAGTCGGAATCATTAAAAATGTTTGGCACATTCTGATCTTGTCAGAAAAACACATCTGGCTTGACGTTGGTTTTGATGGTATGATTTGGTTTTAGAGAACTTTCGAATGATAAAAATGTTGGAATAAAGCAGAAATGCATATAGATGGTGATCTGAACACCGGTAGCTTGTGGACAGAGAAGTGCAGTGAAGCCACCATTACAGGTCAAGCCCTCCTTCCTGGCTCAACTGCCTGGAATCGGAGTGGGATGTACTGTACTCTATATTGGCGTGCGAGCAATAGACAGACATGGACATGCTTTCCTCTGTTGTCTTTAATTATTCATAGACACAAAATATTGAGCATTTTCTTTCCCACTTTCTTAGAAATCATTTCCTTTTCTCCTTGATTTTATATTTTAACTAGATGAACCAAGAGAACTGCTACCCTAAGGGCGTCTATAACCACACTTAGAGAATGTTTCCTCCTGTACTACCATAAAAGAATCCCCTTCATGAATAATAAGTTTCCTTTTTGCCTCACTGCCAGTCCCAAGAACAGAGATTCAAAGGATACTTACTGAATCCTTCCTTCTCACCAATTTAGGCCATCTTGTATGCACCAGACATCTCACTGACGAATATTCAAATACTGAGAGATATCTTGTGTCCAGGCAAGGCTGGCACATGGAATGCATTTTTTGGTTGTCAGTTTCTCCATAATTTGCACAAGCTAGCTCTGCACAAAATTAACATCCTTTCACTTTGAGAAGCAAACCATGCACATACAAACAGTAAACACACAACTGGCTCATTATTTTTGTTTCAGTATGCAAACAGCCCTTCCTGTGCTCTAGCTCTTAAAAGTCCTTGAAACAATGAATCCACCTTCACCACTGAGAGTAATTTGCTTACTTGCATTAAAGCATTTATACTGAAGTGTGATTTGTGCAATTTCACTTAATTTCTGCAAAAAAAAGATTGTGGTCATCCTTTCTTTTTTGTCAAGAGTAGAGACAGTAGTGCAAACTATACACCTTCTTTCAGGGCAAGGAGTATAACTTTGTGACTCCTCATTCTTGCATGTCAGCACAAGACTGATGAAAATTTACATCTCTATTTCTCAGTGTTTATAAAGCTGCAAGCTAGGTTGCTGCACTCTGACAATATTAATATCAAACAAAATGCATAGCTATTACCTCATCATTCTACTTCCTTTATTCAGCTTCACATCTAGTGGGTAGCTAAGTAGTCTCCATGAGTTTTATGAACTGCAAAAGCTCTATTTAGGCCTTATCCCTCAGTCAGTTAACAGTCTTTTGAGAGGGAAAGCAGGGGCATGCTTGCTGGCTCAATCTCACCATTGCAATCCTGTTGGTGCCCTCCTTTCATTTTCTGTCCATTCTCACAGTTAATTCTTGATTTTATTCTCTTCTTTTCCTATTATGATTTTGCCGATTCCTTCCATCTTGTAGAATTTTTCTAATTATGTAAAAAAATTTTATTTTATATACATATACATATACACACACACACATATACATATACATATATATATACATATATATACACAAATACATATATACATGCAGTATACATATACATATACTGTATATGTATATGTATATGTATATGTATATGTATATGCAGTATACATTGTATATGTATATGTATATGTATATGTATATGTATATGTATATGTATATGTATATGTATATGTATATGTGCTTCAGAGCGCCGGCGGTGGACGCTTCTCCGGAGGTTGCTCTGAAGCGTGCTTCAGAGCGACCTCCAGGGAAGCGTCCACTGTGGGCGCTCGGAAGCACCCGTCGGTCAGCTGGGGGGAAATGGGGCCTATGGGGAAAAATTGCAAAGCCATTTTTACCCATAGGAAACATCGCAATGCGATCGCTTTTGCGATCGCAGAATCCACATTGCTACGCGGATTCATCGTTAAACGGGGCACTCGTTATACGAGGCATATATATATATACATACATACATACATACATATACCTGTTGTCTCAATAATGTTTTCCAGGATATGTAGGAAGGAATGGATCCACCTCTCTAAAGTCATTGTTAATGCTCCAGATTGCCTGTTTCAGATTGACCCTCAATGTATTGTTCTAATTTTGCATTTCTGAGTTCTAGAAATGGGACAAAAAGTACTAACTAATTCAAGAAATAGTCTATCAAGTGGTGCAAAAATCTGTTTGTCATTATATGTGGTTTTCCTCACTTCTGTATCTTGCATTTAGCATGCTTTATTTAGTGACTGGTCATGGGAAGATACACATGGGAGGAATGGGAAAATTTTATTGCTGGGTACACCTCTCTGCAGAAATTGTGGGAGGGAAACTGGGTGAATATATGATTGCATAATAGTTCATATACATTCTATTTAACTTCTACCTTGCATTGAGGTTTAAGGTTTTCCATATTGGTGCAATATTTTAGTAGTATTTGCTTGCACTGCAGCTTCCAGTGACTTATGTGAGGTGCTAGAGGATTGGAGGAGGGCCAATGTGGTCCCTATCTTCAAATAGGGCAAAAATAAATAAATAAAGGAACTTGGGAAATACAGGCCATTCAGTCTGACATCAATCCCAGGCAAAATTGTAAAACAGATCATAAAGCAGTAATTGTACAAGCACCTAGAAAACCATGCAGTAGTAAGTAGAAGCCAACATGGATTTGTCAAGAACAAATCCCGCCAAACTAATTTGATCTCATTTTTTGATCAGGTCACCTCCCTAATAGACAGAGGGAATGCTGTAGACATAGTACATCTTGACTTCAGCAAAGCTTTTGACAAAGTGCCCCATGATATCCTGATTAGCAAGCTAACTAGGTGTCCCACTGTTGACTCACATTAATCTTGTGATTTATAAGAGCCCTAGACCTTTTTCACATGTACTGCTGCCAAGTCAGCTACTACCTATCTTGTATTCGTACACCTGCTTATATTTTTCCCTGCTGAAACTCAATTTTTTTTAATTGGGCTTGTTCACATCATATTCTGTCTTCTGGAATATTAGCTACCCCTCCTAGTTTGTTGTCTTTTGCAGATTTTTATGAGTATCCTCTCCATGCCCTCATCCAAGTCACTTATAGAGAGGCATGGCCTGTCAACCAGCTACATATTCACCTAACAGTAGCATATTCTAGACTATTCCAACCTGGCTACTAGAATATAATGATGGACATTGGCAAAAAGTTTTGCTATATCCATAGCAAACCAACTGCACAGTTACAAGATGGGGGATACCTGGCTCAGCAAAACTATGAGCGAGAAGGATCTTGGAATTATCATAGAGCACAAGCAAAATATGAGCCAACAGTGTGATGTGTCTACAAAAAAGGCAAATGCTATTTTAGGCTGTATTAATGGAAGTATGGTTTCCAAATCGCACAAGGTGCTAGTCCCCCTCTATTCATACTTGTTAGGCCTTACCTTGAGTATTTTGTCTAATTCTGGACACCACATTTCAGAAGGATGCTAACAGATTGGAACAAGTTCATAGGAGGGTAACAAGGATGATCAGGGGGCTGGAAACCAAGCCTTATGAGGAAAGGCTGAAAGAATTGGGCATATTTAGCCTTGAGAAAAAAAAGACTGAGGGTTGATAGGATAGCACTTTTCAAATATTTGAAAGGCTGTCATACAGAGGAGGGGCA